GATCCTGGATATACTTCCGGCAGACATGTTGCAACGCCGTTTCTAATGACACTCCCTTTTACTTCTTCTTGAGGATAGGCTTAAGGGTAGAAAGAATATGTAGATTGTAGGTTTTGAATTATGAGGATGAAAATAGTGGGTTGATTTAAGCCATGCTGTACAAAACCATGCTGGCAAAGTTAATAAAGGAGCTTAAAATGCATGAGCGACAGAGTACGGAGATGTTTGCAGAGCTGATTTTTGAGTGAGACACCTCACCGGACCGTCATTTCACCTTCCATTCATCAACACTGTACTTTAAAACAATTAAAGTTTCACCCAAATTGGAGCTACTGCGATCGGTCAGATGGTGTCCGATATACGACTTCATGGTTATGTGTAACTGCGTGATTCACAATACAATTCTTGTCCTAGAAAAACGTACCAAGGGCACCACCTAGGTCGCATTCCTTATGCTACTACACCACTATCACTTCTGTACATTGGCAAAGCTACTTCGTGACTGGGCTCCGACGTCGGGCGGACACAAGAGAACATGCTTAATGAACAAGTCTTAGCGTAGTTCACGTAGTGGCACCATTGTCATTCACCAGCACCACCATCACCTTTGCTGCGATTGCACTTGCGGCTGCAACTCACGAGAATAAAATTGCCATAATCTGGAGCATGACGAGCAAAGCATAGGAGGTCAAGAAAACAAACGGCTGTTAAGGCCACGTTCCACAACCTTATCACTAGTCCGACTGCTAGGTCATTCTCCACACGCCTTAATGTTAGATTATCGCCAATGTAACAATGAAAATTCAAATTTGAATGCAGCAGTTAGCGCTCATCGCATCTCTACTCCAATGACAACCCGGAAATGTCTTGCTCACTTGTAGAGAGACAGACATCTTCCTGATATCGCAGAACGTAGAGACATTGCCTCAAATGCAAGCCAATTATGCATGATCCTCAATTCTTACAAATTTAGGCTACCCTCTCCGTAGCAAGGATATCCACTCATAATAATTCTGCCTACAGGTCATTCATGCTGCACTTTTGCACTCCTAAGGAGAGTAACAACTCTCGGAATGGTTAAGAAAGAACACGCTAAGTTAAAACACAATTGTAGTAGTACAGAACAGGTGAGCTGTAGGCAGAATTCATATGAACGAATCACCATGCTACCGAGATGGTGGTCCACTTGTGTAAGTAGTGAGGATTCTGTTTAATTGACCTGTATTTGAGGTACTGCCTTGTTGCGTCCTGTGATGCCAGGATGATGTCGGTCTCTCGTTGGGTGAACAAGATACTATGCTGGGTATTCTTTGGACTAGAGTATCGACAGAGGGATTCTCAGGGCCACATCCCCTCTTGCCAGGTGCCCCTATCTCGTGCTTTGCAAAGATACTGTACGAACCATTGTGGAGACAACAGCTTAATTTTCATAGGTATATATAGATTGCTCCAATAGAGGATTCCTCACCCACGTCCTCTATAGCTAAATGCAATTCCTGTTGGACAGCGAATTCGGCCATGCAATTTGCGTAATGAAGCATCATTTGTGGTCTTCGATGATCCCTCCATGTTCGTCAGTGCCAAATTAATTCCCACTCAATACTGACGGCAACTTCGCCGCAAGAGTATTGCAATTAGGCCTACACCTTGGAAGGTCGTTCATATCAGCTTAAACACTGCCAATGACGTCTCTCACACCATCCGAATAAACATGGCTACCACATCACTTTGACAGCGGTTTATGCATGGTGCAGTTCCACTTAAGCTTACAAGTAAAAGAGACGTTTCTTAAAGTAATGCAAGTGCAGACATTTGTAAGCATACGACTAGTTCAAAAAAACTAAGGCGTACAAATCGTATACTCAAGCCATGAAAACCGTTTAACCATGTCACCTATACAGGAAAGCCATGGATCTTAAAATAAGACAAAGCAAGCTTTAACGCATGTGTCATTGTGACTGTGTGTGCGAAGGCCGAACAAAAGGTCCCAAAGGAGTGATACGACCTCCTGTGCAAAAATTTGGGGACCCTGTATAACTCCATTGTAGAATATTTTAGTTTTGAGTACATATGCACGCACATGCCAATGCTATTGGGGTCTTGGTGCCAAATCCAACGACAAGCGGCTATACCCACCTCTCATCCAATCGTGTCGCTGAGCGCCTTACATCGGACAAAACTCCTCCTCCCTCTAAATGGCTTGTAGGGTTACGCGCCAAAGTCATGCTCATTAGTGTCACCTGCAACAGGAAATAGTGCGGTATAGTGAACTGTCATGCTAGCCACCACCTTGTACAACAAACCACATTTTGGGAATGTAGCTGCCCCTTTTAAAGGCCTACCGAGAAAGAAAATGTATTCAGCAACACAAAGGACTAACAATTTTAGAGCATTCTTTGCTTCAGCATAGATTTCGGCATGATACGGAAAACAGTTTTGATTTGTTGCAGGGTTCTTTACTAGGAAAAGTAGCTAACTCAGGGGATGCTACTTATCAAATCTTTAGACACTGAGGTGTACACACGGGTATAAAATGAAAACTGGGTTTTGGGCTTATTTTTCATTTACACAAGCAGCACATGACGCTAGAAACAGGCAAGCTTCAGTGGAACCAATGTCACCACTACGATGGAGAATATTTGAGGTGCTATCATATTGGTGCATTTAGCACAATGTCATTAGATGAGAACATGTGCCAGAAGGAGAGTTTGACCCCACCAGCTTCAGCAAACGGCGAGGGTGGATAAGGTTGTGAGGCTAGGAAGTAATCCAAGTGGGGAGTCGCAATTTGCATACTTCTTGTAGGTTTAGTGATAAAGTAACTAATCAAAGAAAAAATAAAGAGAACGTCGGAATTTGGACAAGTAGCCAATTGTACGGTGCAACAACAGCAGCAATGCCAGCGTTGCCGAGTGATGAACGCCTCAGTCAATAAACCAATGATAGCTCATGAACGAAAGGAAACAGAACGCTCAATTGCTCATTCATTGCCTCTTTGTAATTCGCATTTTTGCTCATTCATAAAGCGAATAACGCAATAATTGCTTTCATTGAGACCATTTAGAATATTTGTTTAGTGCAATTGAAATGAGCAGGCGGAGGAAAACTTTCCTCTCCCTGATTGGATTAGTATATTGCTCGCCTTGAATACAGAACGATATCTTCCTGATTTTGCAGAACGCAACAAATTAATGCCTCCATTATTCACTTTAGCCTGTTTTTTCTTAGTCTGAGTTTTAATTTTGTGAATCTAAGTCACATTCTTTCCGCGTGCCTTTTTTACAACCTTAAACTCAAGAAAACACACTCTTTTAATGGGTACGTATAGTGACCCTATCACAAGTCTGATTAATAAGTCATTCTCGACACACACTGATGGCAGGTGGTCTCCAAAGCAGCTCATGCTGGTAAATATCCTCTCCGTGATTGGATTCCTGTCTTAAAGGCTACCCGGCAGGGTATCTTGCTCGTCTGCAGACAGACCGATATCTTCCAGATATCACAATCGCGGCGAGACGATGCCTCAGGGGCAAGCTCATTAGACTTGATCATAATTTCTCACAAATATGGGCCATCGTTTAAGTGGCATGGTGATCCGTTCATATCAATTCTGTCAGCAGGTGAGCAAGCTACCATGGCGGTTAGAATTTCGACTAGAATATAGACGAAATGATTGTCAAGTCCACAGCTCCTCACTCCAGGTGCCCTTATCTCTTGCCATGCGAAACGCCTAACCGATTCATTATAAAGACACCAGCTGTATTTACATAGGGACATATGGAATTTGCGAACAGATCATTCCTTATCCCTGTCTTTTCTAGGTAAATGGAAATCTAGATGAACTGCGGATTGGCTTTGCAATTAGAATCGAGTGGTAAATAAGAATTGGTGCAAAATAATACACTATGCCCCTTATTAAACTACGTTAGTTGTCAAGCATCGTTCAGCCTTAGGCGGTGTCAAAGCCAGTTAATCAACTCAATTCAATTTACAATGGGGATATAACTATTTGTACAGTGAGCTTAACGAGATGCATGTTCTCCGTTTAAATCTATATCCTCCTGCTTCCAAGCGAAGTTAAAGTCTGCCATCTTCGCAATTT